TCCCCAAAATATATTGCACGAGAGAATACGATAGAAACTGACGTGTTTTTGAAAAACACGTCCAGGGGACCAAAACATTCTCCGTCTTTAACTAAGAAGAGTGAACTGATTAAATCTTGGGTCTCAAGTAAAAAAATAGGTAGGATTCAAACCCGATTGCCACCGACTTTCCCAACTACGATGAACAGGTTCACTCCTTTAATGTCATGTGATGTGCCCCTAGCCTCTCCAAGTTGTAAGACTGATAATATTAAGAACATGTCAGACCAACATCTGAACATGCGCACAAATAATTATTATCCAAGAGCTAGGTGCACTGCCCAACCACCTAATCCTAGAACTATTAGTGAAAGTGGAAATGGAAGATTTTTCACCCCTCACCCTATCCTAAAGACCCGGGCTTTTATTCGCAAAAACGCTGAGAATGAAAACTCTATGCATCCTGCTCTACCAAGCCAGCTGGTAAACATGACCCCCAAATTTAGAAAAGGCCATAGCAACTGGCACTCGTATATGGCTAACCCTCCCCAAGTTAAAACCATTCCGTATAAATTTAGCCTTAGTAACGAGCTGTGTCATCAAGACATTACTAGAAACGGTGGTGAACTGCAATGCCAGCCGAATCAAAATTTTTTCGGGATACAGCCACTTGTGGTACCTCTTGCGCGACTAGATTCCACTTCATGAATAATATCTTATTACCCTATTCTCTCCGATTACTGCTAATACTTACACTACCTATACTACTATGGGATTTGAATTGACGATTGCATCTCTGTTCTATTGTGGTATGGCAACTTGAACTGGTGTACGTACGTACGAAGTTCTACGTTGCTATTGATTGATTGACCGAAAAGTGATCGTGTACATGGCTGCTCGATCTTTGGTGTGTGATTTTATTACAGTAAATGTGGTAACATTTGTAACTATTTGATCTTGTCTGTAAACTGGCTTACCTCATGTATCATACTGTTATTTGAGAATTAGTATTACAATGAATTTAGTTTTGACTGGGCTCTAATGTATGTATTATGTCTAGGTCAAGTAATTTGTTTCTCCTTTTGTGGTAATGTGAGAAATTTTGGATTAAATAGTCGAGAATGTGCCAAAAAGCTTGCTAAATGTTTACTTCAGCATCGTGTACGGTGTGATGCATTGGATTATTTTGTCACGCGGTAAGTTATAATACGTACAGAAATTGCGCTGTAAGGGTGCTTGTGATCATCAACGTGTCCGTGGAATCTGGTTTAATCCCGTTCATAGCTGTGTGAATTTTTACCCATATGCTTCTATTGTTCATGTCTGTGTCAATTATATTTGTGTATGTCATTGACGTGTGTAGTTTTATACGTCTGCTTCTCGCTTACTATTTCATTGCGCACAAATTCCTATGTAAGCCAAATAAAATCAAATTCCTGAACGGCCTAGCAGTGGTTCTCTACTTTGTATCTGTTTATTCACTCTCTCAGCTTGATTGTTCATCTTAATCCGAAACATCCATTTTTCAAATTTTGATGGTGTTACGTTGTTTAAATACACTCCAGCAGCAAAGTAAGTTGACACAAACACCTACTAAATATTAAGGAAGTTTTTAAGAAATTCAATAGAAAAATGGATATGGATGACTTTGAAACAAGCTTTAGCCAACAAATAACATTGTCTGATTATAGAAGCATTTGTGACTAAAAATATGTAATACAGTTTTATAAGTGATGGGTAGTTTTGACAAGAAATGTGAACTTATGCATATTAACTGTTATCAACTATCATACAAAAAATAATTTCACACAGGAGCCCGACTGATTCACCTAACTATTTTACTTCTTCCAAAAATTATTAGTCAGTTCGTAGGTACACAAATATCACCTAAGGATCTACGATTACCGATGTGGAGGATGCTGACTTTCATTCAAATTATAAATCGATCAATGTCAAAAAACCATTAGAAACCTGAAAGCATTGGACGGACATTTCGTCCTGACATAGGACTCATCAGAAGTGATCATCCATGATTCCCACTACTCACAGAGTTCAGACCTAGAACCTTCTGTCTTGCGCGCGAACACCTAACCTCTGGAACAGTGAGCCGGCATCCAATGATGTTAATGTCTAACTGCGATCAATCTAGGGACCTCACTGACTAAATGAAATTACTCTGTCACCCATGGAATGATAGAGAATAGCCTTTTTTAATAATCATTATTATTACCAATATATATATTTGTTGATTTATTTATATATATATCTGAAACCTCCATTATACATATACATATACACTTGAAAAAGGTTTGGGGGGAAAAAAACACTGAAAGAAAAAAAGACAGGTACATCAATAAAATTGGGGGTAAAAAAATTGTGTAGTTCGGATAAGAAGAAGAATAATAAGAAGAAATCAAGACAATGAGAATCATTGCAGTATATGCTGCAATGTATGTAAAATATGACCCTGTTTTTCCGGGAATATGATCAACGTCATTGTTGCTGCTTTCACGATACTCTCTTACATACTACTCATATCAATAATGAGTAGTAGCAGTTGGAGTAGTAGTAGTTATAGTGTTAGTTTTAGAAGGATAAAATGAAAATCAACAATCCAAAATAATAATAATAATAATGGTAATCATAATACACAATGCTTTACTCATTCTCACCAAGTTAATTCATTCGAATCTCATGATACAACATGACATAACATACATTATAAGCACTGACGGTGTGTACAAATGAAATGGTAGAAGTGAATAGATAGACAGATAGACAATCGGTATGTGTATGTACGTGTGTGTGTAAGTATTACATAACAGTATTATTAGTAATAATAATGGTAATCGAAACTATTCAAATAACAGAAATGTTGAGTAAAACCAAAGAAGTGGTAAGAGAGAGAATCTGAATAATAATAGTAATAATAACAATAATAAAAGGAAGAAACTGACAAATGCATCATATGGTTTGTTCGTTTGTATATATATATATATATCCATAAATTGTTACGAAGAAATGATAACCTCACTGGAAAATTCATCATCATAATGGGGAACAACAACAACAAGAGTAGTGTGGAGAAGAAACAAGCGAATCAAAAGTGAACTTCAGTTAGGATACATATACACGTGTGTGTGTGTGTGCGGGTGTGTTTGTATACATGTACGTTGAATGAATAAAATACACGGTGAAATCGGCACAGACACGTTATTATGGCAATTTGATTGGAATTTCAACAAGACTATTATTACTGTTACTTTCAACTCAACAAAACTGCTTCCTGTAGGAAAGTTCAGGATATCATTGAACATATTGACCAGTTGATTAATCATTTTAAACATAATTCAAGGGAAAGATGATTTTGGTGATATTAAGTAAATTAAAAAAAATTGTCCAAATTCATTCACACACATGCACACAGATGAATTTCACAGATGAGAAATTTCAATCAATATATGGAAAGATGTAAAAAAGGGAATAAGACTGTAGTACTACGGATGATAATGATGATGATGATCATAGTAGTAGTAATAATACTAGTAATAACAATAATGAAAAGGAGGAGTAAAATTCCAAAGAAACTATCATGACACATAAAAAAGAGAGGGAGAGAAAAAAACAACCCAATTCACATTATCTAACTTACAAAGAGAATTAGATGATAATAATTTTTGGTTGTGTATAAGAGAGAGAAAGAGAAATAATTATGTCATGTAGAAAAGAGATAATTGTTATACTCTTTATTACTAGTGTTGTTGTTGTTGTCGTGTAAACAAATGTCTGTTAGCAATTTATAAATACATAGATCGATAGAGAGATGAATGAATGAATATTACTACTATAATACAATGTATACAATATTTGGTTTTTGTTGCAATAAGAATATTACTTACATACATGGAAAGGGAAGAAAACATGGAGACAATGGATGGAGTAAACGGGTAAACTAGTCAGTCATCAAAAAACAGAACAACAATTATTGCAATTATTACACAGAAACCAAGTTGCCCCTCATCATCTACAGACACACACACAGACACGACAATCCGTTGACAAGAATACCTTTCATTATTTTTCTTTTTAGAAAAAACAAGAGTAAAACACACTGTAAAATTCAAAAAAATTGCCACAAGACAGTATGAGAATAGAGCTGCCATAGAAAAAAAAGAAACATAATAATAATAGTAATAATAATAATCATGGACCTGTAAAGTGGTCTACTTTCGACTGATTAAATAGTTAGTTAGTGGGCTTTGTTTCCTCTCCGTCTCTCTCACTCTCTCTGTAGCTCTCTGTCTGTCTAATAATGAACAACGTACAACAGAGGATATTAAGTTGTCTCATATAAAAATCCAACAGGCACAATCAAAACAGTCAAACTATATGCACAATTTGAAAAGAATCCTGAAGTGGCGTTGAATAAGAAAGATAAGTTGTGAACATTCAAAGAAATGGATGAATAGATGCGTAGTTCTAATTCATACATGAATCAAAACATACAACACAATAAAGCAATCATAATAATTCATAGTGAACTAATGAAATCAATTGTTTCTGTATAAGAATAATCTTTATATCTCATAGTTGTGTGTTGTGTTGTAATATTTCTTGTTCAATTCAGATAACAATGAGTGATTGAAAAAAACAAGTACAACATTAATAATAATGATGGTATTAAAAATGAGATAGGCCGTTATACAATAGAACAACACTCATACACACACACGCGCACCAATATGAGGCCAACGAATGAAAGAAACAGACCGACACAAGACTTACACCCCATACAGATTCAGATATCATTTGAAGAACAGGCAAAACAGTGTTTCATGAAAAGAAAACTGATTTTAAAAAACACAAAAGATGACATGAACAATGAAATCAAGTTGACTATCAGTGTGTGTGTGTGTGTGTGTGGATGTCACTGTTATTCAACTACCCTGTTCATGATACTTTATAAATTTGTTAAATAACATACAAAATTATTTATTTATTACACAAGGAAATAAAGGCAGTCATGATTGATTTGTTTCACAAGTAGGATGATGATTGTTATTGACAATGGAACTACTATTATCATTATTATCATTATTATTATTATCAGTATGATCATTTAACCCCATGAAATCAGCTACACCGAATCGAACTGATTCTGTATATTTACACTGTGTTGTTGTGATCGTGTCAACAGCATCGGAAGCAGCGGTAGTAGCAGTAGTAGCAGTAATAATGTTAGAATCGCATTCCATTATATCATCATTAGTCATAGGAATAATTTGACAATTTGATTGACAACATTCTACCGATCGTTCACTACTACTATTAATCAATGGCTTTAATGAAGTTGTTGTTGTTGTTGTTGTTGGTGGTGGTGAATTACAACAAATTCGTTTCGATGGTGGTGGCTGGTCATTCATATTCTTTTCTAAATATTCATTGAATTTGGTTTTTATTGATGGTGATAATGACAATACGGTAGAGGTTGGTGTATTCGATGACGGTAACAGCGACGACGACGACGACGACGACAACGAACATTCCACTGGAAGAGCACCGCCACCAATAAATGCATTCATATTCATTGGTTTTGTCGTAGATAATTCAAGATTTAAACAAGATGACGATGTGCACACGGCACATGACATTAGATTGGTAGATGTAGTAGTAGTAGGAGGAGGAGGATAAGGTAAGGAATCACTTGCGTTGTCTGTCAGTGATGATGCTGATGATGATAACATCGATTGGTCAGTGAATTGATCGGATGATAATTTCGATTGGTTTATAGTCAAATGATTCATCACATCACTTGAAACGGTAGCAGTAGTAGTGGTAGTAGTAGTATTAGTAGTAGCAGTAACAATCTTCAGTACATCAGATTGATTTGATTCATTGAAATGATTATGACCAGTTGACTGGTTGATTGAATCTGTTACAGAGTATTTATTCAATGGTTGTGGACAAATTGACGATAATGATGATGACATGGTCATATTGATTGTTGAAGCATCAGTACATGACGGTACCGTTGTTGTGGACAATTTGAAAGCAGATGAATGTTGAGACCAGCTAGTAGGATAAAATGTGTTCATACTGTCGAACTTATTAGTATTATTATTATTATTATTGTTCCTAAAATCAATTGGATGAGGTTTATTAAAAGTAAATTCGACATTATTATTAGTAGTATTATTGTTGCCGGCGGCGGCAGCAGCGGCCGACAGTCTGGATTCATGACAATTTAATAAATACTCATCGGTAGTATATGAATTCAGTCTAGATGATAATGATGATGATGATGACGAGTTCCGTGGTGTTTGTCGTGTTGGCGGCGATGATGATGATGATGGTGTTAGTTTAACATTTAAATCGTCAATTAGTGAATTATTATTCAATGAATGAAATGAATCTTTCAATGGAAATGGTGATGTTGACAAATTGAACATTGAATAGTTTGAATGAGATGACATTGAAGGATTGATAAATGCAGATGATTTACTTGGATAACAACCTGGAATTCGATGATGTGGTTGTTGTTGTTGCTGTTGCTGCTGCTGATGATGATGATTCAACCGTAAACTTAAATCAGATGATGTTAATGTATGCTCATTAGTTATATGACTGTTATTATTATTATTATTATTAGAACTTATAGATGGGCATAAAAAACTTGAAGGAAATCCATGAAATTTCGATGATTGGTTGGGAATATTTGATTGAGGTGATAAATGTAACGGATGGATAAATGGATCGATAAAATTAGTTAATTTTTGCCTAGCAAAATGATGATTCGTTGATGCATGATGAATTCCTGTTTGTTGACGTTGTTGTTGGTGGTGTTGATGTTGATGCTGTGATGACAATGTTGATGATGATGCTGATGAGGAGGATGTTGTTCCATGAGAAGCATCCTCGGAATCCACTTCCGAAATAAATCGTATACATTTCTTTTTACGACTAAAATTTATAAAAAAAGTGATATAAAAATGTCATAAAAAATTTGAAACAGTCTAAACACTTTTTTTCATTTATTCAATCAATGAAACACCCCGTTGGTGAATACACCTTGAGTCAGTCAGTCAGTCAGCTTTTGAACATTGAATGTTGTATTGAGAAGACTGAGGCAGGCGCGGAAGATTGCATTATGCAAATTTACACTCTTAGTCAATTAAAAACGAAAACATTACATTGAATATTCTATTTGCACACCATCTTAGAGTCGTGACTTCCAACGCTCCACCCTTCTTCCATTCCTACTGTTGCTTCCTTTACTTCCTGTTGGTACCCCATTTACTTCTTGCTTTTGCTCCATTTACTTTCCGTTTTCCTCTTCTGACCGTGAGACTTCTTTCACGTCCCTTCTTATACTACTTATATCGTTCGTATAAGTAGCACACACCACAGTATGATAATACTAACAATAGTATTATAATAATAATAATGATTCAATCAATATTTTCGATTATTCTAACTTGACTGTCAGTTCCGAAAACACAAAAAATGATTGAATCAGTACTTCAAACTTATTCTGCACAAACCATCTTGTATAAACTATTGTTAGTCATCATAGTATACATGTCCTAGTGTTGGTGTATTCTACTCACTAAATGGCTTAAAAGTAGTATGCAAAAGAGTATAACTTCGAAAATACTGTTAAATTGAAGAATGTGAGATTCAGAGGAATGGTGCAATCAAAGTGTTCTAAAAACCAGAAGACCTGAAAAAGAAGATAGTCAATAATCGGTTTGTTTTGTGAATGAAAGTCTGAAGAATGAAGATGTGTACAGTTTGCTCATGGTTTCGAGAACCTGCACAGGTGCATTCATTCTCATTATGTTCTCTCGAATTCTAATTTTCTCAATTCCTTGCCACCTTTTTTACTCTCTCTTTTTTAAAAAAAATTCATTTCATTAGATGATACTTCTTGAATAATTTCGTCGAATCCTAATCTTCTTCATCACGGCTAATATACTTCTACTACCTTTATCACAATAGGATTTAAATTGACAGTTCGATTTCTCTGTGCTAATATGGTATGGTAACTTGAACACTGATGTACGTATGTACGTACGAAGTTCTACGTTGCTGTTGCTGACTGCCTTTATATCAAATTGAATACTCTGACGCTTTAGACCTAAACATAACTGTGTTATTATTACATGAAAGGTTCTCAAATGCCCTGGTATAGCTAAAAGTGAGAAGAGTTCTCTCTCTGTCTTAATGGTCTCATATGACTATGTATGTATAGCCATTGCCATGGAATTCTAAATCACTGCCGTCTTGTGAAACAATTGTTGTATGCTAAGTTGACAGAACGAAGATCGAATGTTTGGTATAGCTAAATAGATAACGAGAGAAGGTTTGTAGCGTGAGTTACTGGATTCGAGTCATGAAGCTGACGAGTCCCGGATAGGACGAAACTCACCACCTGGATTCAACTACTAACCACATTTCATCCATTCTGCATAAATATATCTAATACAGAGAATTACTTGATCACCTCATTGATAAAATTCTACGTAAAGAATAAAACTGCAAATTGAATATATGAAGAAAAAACAGACAGACAAACAAACAGATAAGAAAAAGAAACCTACCGACAAGGTTTACACCACATATTCTGATGTTCTAACCCGAATCGAGCACGACATTTTTTCAAATTACCACCGGAAATTTCATTACCATTCATAGCTGCTGCTGCTGCAGCGGCCGCCGCAGCCGCCGCAGCTACCGCCGATACAGTAGTCGGTATAGATGAATGAGGCAAATGATTATTTTTTGTATTTGTTTTAAAATGACTATCTGATATAGATGATAATGATGATGATGAATTATGATGTCTGCTATTATTATTACCATTACTACTACTACTACTACTACTATTACCAGTACTACTACTAATACTATTACCAAGACCAAAACTAGACATGAAATGTGAAGGTAATGTACCAGGAAATGTAGATAAATGATTTGAAGGCAATGATGTATAAGGTAAATGATTGAAATGTGTAGAATATCGATAATTATTAGATTGATAATCAGTTGGTATGAGTGGATACGACGGGTTTCGAACTGCATTATCTAATGATGATGATGATGACGATGCTGCTGCTGCTGTTGATGATGATGATAAATTAATCATGTCAGTAAATTTAGGCGGTAACATTGAAGAATAATACTCTTTGGAATGTATTGATTTGTGATAATTATTCAATGAAGATGACAGCGAAGAAGAAGAAGAAGTGAAGCAGGAGGTGGAAGAGGAGGAGGAGGAAGGATAAAATGCAGACAATGCATCACGTTTACCATTAATTACATTAGAATGTAAAAATGGATAACCGGTGGAATGTTGTAATAAATTCGATATATCATGATTATTTTTTGTATTATTATTATTATTATTAATACTACTATTATTATTGTTAGTAGTATTAGTAGTAGCACGATCAATAAATTCATTAGACATGAAATAATTCACGGATGATTCATCACTGTATAATCGATTGTTTTGATGATTTCGTGTACATAGTCCAGTGGTTGATGAAATAGAAGACGGTATTGTGATTATAATGTTTTCATCACCAGTTAAAGTGGTCATCTTATTAACTCGACTATTATTACTGCTGGCATCGAAATGAGGCTTTGATTTTTTATTGAAACCATGTATCAGTGGAAATTTATGCATTTCATCATCATTGTGAATAGTAGAGAAATGCGAGAATAGAGGAGAATCGATATTCATATTAGGTAGATATTGTTGGTGATCATCAACAGCAACACCACCATTACTCAATGTTTTATAATTAACTGGATCAATATTCATTGATTTCACAGGTCTTACTACTCCTCCGCCTGCACCTAAGAAATTACCACTATCTTGTTCTTTCAAGGACATAGTTACGAAGGGATCTTGTTTCGACAGACTACTACTACTAGTAGTAGTAGTTTGTTTAGACAATGACAATGAGAAAGAGGTGGTGGTAGTGGCGGCGGCGGCTGCGGATGCCAATGATGAACATGATGACGGCAAGGAAATAGATGATGTTCGCATAGAGAATGAATGATTTTGTTTTTTCATACACAATGGTGAATTTGTTGTTGTTAGAGAGATGTGTTGATTAGTGGAAGAGAATTCTGTAACAGTATTAGTAGTAGTAGTCGTATTAACAGGTAGTAGTTGTGATATAGATGGAGGTCGGTGTGGAGAAGAACATTTACTACCACTAGTACTACTACTGTGATGAGGATGATGATGATGATGACGAGCTCGATGCTGTTGAGGATGTGGATGATTACCGCCAGCATCATCTGACAAATGATCAGTTTGTATTTTGGAATTAGTTTGATTTATCATTGAAGATAATAAATCAGTTGAATGCATTTTATTATTGTGACTGTTTGGTGAATGATCAAGAATACAAGAATCGCATTTTGATTGGTTGATAGTACTATCATCCAGTGGAAATGTTTTATAACCATTCCATTTATGATTATTATTATTATTATCATTATTATTATTATTCACTGATGATGTATTTACTTTAGATTTATCTATCATTAAAGTTGAATTATTCATTAATAAAAATGATGATGATAACGATTTATCAGCTGAACGTAATACACCAGTCATTGGCTTATTCATAATATGACGTGATGTTCCACGTATATGTAGACCATGTTTATGAAATAAATGTCGTCGACGTTTACGTCGTCTAGCATGATAAGCATAATTATCACGTGCTGACCAATTTGGATATAATTGTTGATGTAATTCTTTTTCATGTCTAGCCATTTCATAATATTTGGTTTGTTCTTCTCGTGTTAATTCATGCCATTTTTTACCTAATACTTGATTAATTGCTGCGGATTCTTTCAATGTACACTCTTCTTGAACACGTGAACGCATCTCTTTCATAAATAACATAAATGCATTTAATGGTTTTTTAATATGTATACCTTTAGATGAACAGGTTGATGAGGATGTTGGTGACATAAGATTGTTGGATAGTTTTTTCTTAAGATTTTCTTTATAATTATTATCTAAAGATAGAACTTCTTCATTATGATCGGATGGAATGGTTTTACGACTATTGTAAGGATAGTTATTATTATTAGTAGTATTATTCGAAGGATTAGTTGCTGATTTTGTTAAAGCTTTTACATAATCAAAATTTCGACGATCACGAGATCTAGATGATGAATGAGAAATATTAAAAGAAATGCAAGAAATTCACTTATAAATTTTAGACTACTTACAAAACATTAAAGTAGTACATAATCAAACCCTTAATTTTTGAATTCACAAAACTTTATTGAGAACAGTTACAGTGAATAAGCGAGGTCTTATTCAAAAGACTCTTAAACGTGATATTTACTGTATGAATAGATATAAATGGAACATTATGCGTTTCCAATTCAACAGAAAACTTTTACACCAAGATAGTTAGCGTCAAGGACTAACTTTAGGTAGATAACCACACAAAAACGCCACAACAGCACACACCTATGACTTAACCCCAGGGGTTAAGGTCAGGACTCACAGAGTGAACATTGCCTTGTAGTGGCATAAAATAACATACATTTGTAATTTTCGCTACCAAGAGATAGCAGGACAATAAACTTGCCACTTTAGTCTTTTTGACACACCGAGTCCAACATCATTTTTGTAATGAACAAAATGGTCCGAGTCAGAGTTGAGAATGAAATCTGATTCGGAATCAATGGCAGATGATTGTAAATTATATTTTTTTTAAAAAATGAAAAATCATTGTTTCTTTTATGATGAAAATGGTGTTATTCAAATATAGTGAGGAATTTTTTTTAACAAACGTCATGTAAGCAAATCATATCGCCTACAATGAATGTGATCTGTAGAAATTTCAATGGACAGTCAGCATATCCGTATCCTACAGTATAGCTGTTTTAACAAAAATATGAATACGTCGATTAGACTGTTGTCGATTCACGTTGAGTTGATTGATTACTGATTACCGAATAACTAGTGAATTCATATTATTACTCAATGTGATAAGTTTACATTTAAAGTACACCGCAAGGTGTCAATCGTTTGTATGAAAATCTCAAATAAAAAAATGGTTCTGTGAGCTTAATATGACAATGTAACTGTGGTTAGATATTTGCTGAGATGGAATTTATAAAACACTGAAAAACATTCCGATTACAATATCATTTCTTATGATAGAGTTGTAAAGACTGTTGAGTTTCATTGAAAAAATGAAATGATCACTGGACGGCTGTCAAGTCCTAGTATCGGACACATCAGCAGTGCGCAGCTACGACTCCTGCTCGCAAGAATCGAAACCAGGACCTTCGGTTTCGTACACAAATGCTTAATCTCTAGATCATTGAGCCAGCATTCAACAGTGTTAATGTCTAACTCTGATCAATCTAGGGATTTTGCACAACCTCACCCATTTGTCTTCAATAGCTACTGTCTACACTCAACAGGGTTGAACTCCATTTATCATGACTTCTCACTAGTACTTTGAGAATCTCTTCACGAAGCTAGTCACTAGTAGGCAAAGTATATGATTTTTCATCATAGAGATTATTGTTTAACATTGGAATCGCATGAATCAGTCATTGTGTTAGACTATCATTAGAAACCTGGAAGCACTGCTGAAGAGCTTCATACTAGGAGAGGAACCGACCTTCTTTTCTAGTATTTCTATATTTCTAATACTAGTCTAACAATGATTGATTCATGCGATTCCAATGTGAAAACACCAATCTCCATAACTCCATACGAAAGGAATAATGGTTTACAAAATATACAGCTCTGTGTTATATTATCGTTATTATTATGATTATTCTTATTATCATATAAAGCAATAAATCAACTAAGGAATGATTTTATGATGAATACGTCTCGTAATCGACACAAAAATATGGATTAATTTATGCCAAATATTAACCAAATAATCAACATGCGCCATTTTTTGTAGACATGACAGTAGGTGGATAAATCAAACTTTTGAGAGAGAGCACAAGAGATAGACAGACAGACAGACAGACAAACAGAGTGAGAGTGTTTTTATTTCATCGACAGGTGGATCAAGTGTTTAGCTGGCTTCGGTGTTTACTTTTCTCTCTCTCGCGCTCTCTCTCTCTGTCTCTCTCCATAACCAATTATCAATTTCAAATAAATACAATAACAATCATTAGAACAAAACTGAAATGATCAGAATTCAATGTTATCCATCAAATAATAAATTTATTGTTCTTTATTTATGGTGACGTATATTCAAACATTCAATCATTCAATTAGTTGGCTTTATTTTCAAGAACTATGATGGATAATTGTATAAATCACATTCATGAGCAGATAGACACTCAACACACACATACATACAAGTCAACCTCGTAAATGGGAAAAAAAGTCAAATATTCTATCAATAAATTAAGTAGAAAGCAAACAATAAAGGCGACAGTGGCAAGGACCACACACACACACACACACACAAAAACGACACCTCTATTCAAATAAATCATTGTCTCTAATGTCAAGTAAACTTCATGAAAAAAAAAACAGAAACAGATTAACTGTATTTATTGGTAGATAGGTATAACAGGTAGATTATTAGCAAGCTATTCATTGTATGACTTTCATTGTGTGTACTTGTGAATAGATTGTTTAGTCACTCGTTTGTTTATTTGTTTGTGTACTCGTGTGTGTGTGCGTGTGTAGTATTCAGTGAATACGCCAAATAGAAAAAAATCATATGGCTTGATTAACTAAACAAAAATCTGCAATAACAAATACAAGCGCGCGCGCACACACACACAAGCATTGATAGATAGCTGTAAATAACGAAAATGACTAGTTTGTTTTTTCCTTTTCTTTAATCCTCTTCAATAGAAACGTATCAAACCAAATCAAACTAAAACAAAACAAACAATGACAGCTTGTTCAAATTTCAAGATTGTTATGCAATCAATCCATCAAGTTGGATAGAATAGCAGTAGTATTTTATTGTCATTGCTGAATAGACAAAAAAAAACATTCAGTGTTATTTTACACATTTGAAATCATCAATCAATCAATCAATTTATGTTAGACCACCATTAGAAACCTGGAAGCACTGTAAGATGGCCGTTTCGTCCTGGTATGGGACTCATCAGCAGTGGTCTAACAATGAGTGATTGATCATTTCAAATGTGTAAAAAACACAAATCTCCAAAGCTCTAACTGAAAATTTATTGTTATTCTTACAACATCTAATGTGTATCAATGAATTCATGAAGAAATGATATTCTCATGTGTATGCGTGTGTGTGTGTGTGTGTATTCTAATTCAAAAGAAAAGAAGCACCCAGCTTCAGTCCGCTTTTTTTCCGTACCCAAACACACACACACAGGAATCTCAAAATGAACAATTAATCAAAAAAAAAAGAGTAAAAGAACATGATGGTGCAGGTAGGTGTTATTATATTAGGTAAATTAGCTATCTGTTCTCATTGGAATCATGAATCGATCAATGTTAGACTGACATTGGACACTCAGAAGTAGTAGATGGCTATGTTTGTGCTCGTATGAGACTCATCAGCAGTGCACTTACATAACCCTCTTAACAGGAATTAAACTCAAGAACTTCCGTCTCAAGCTTAACCTCTTGATCATTAAGCCAACATCTAATAGTGTAATTGTTTAATGTGAAACAAATCACGATAATATGTGATTATAGTCTATTGCTTTCAGTGGATAACTACCTCAAAGTAGACAAAGTTTAACTCCTCTGGTTTCGAATTCTTACTAGAACTATTCATCTATCTATCTATTTTAAGAATTTATAATCAATGATGATAGTAAACATTTTGCTCATTACCTTCAAAATCATAATTGAATCATTGTTAGACCACCATTAGAAATTAGGAAGCAATGGAGGGCCGTTTCGTCCTGGCATATGGAACTCATCAACAGTGTGCATCCACGACTCCTGCAACTAGCAGGATTTGAAGCGAGGACCTTCGGTCTTAGGCACGAATGCCTAACTTCAGGACTACTGGGCCAGCATCAAACGGTGTTAATGTCTAACTCTGGTCCATCTAGGGATTTTGCGCTACCTAACCCATTTTGTTCATTCCCAACCATTTCAATTTGAAATAAAATGAAGCCGATGAACAAAAGGTTTAATGATTTATTTAGAAATACCAGCTACTGGTAATAAAATTTCAGTATTAAAACACTTTTGATTAAAACCTGAAAAAACGGTACTACTTCTTAATCTATCGTGATGGATGCTACACTCATAAGGTAGTATATGAGTAGTATGCAACGGAGTGTTGCCTAGAAGTTGTTATCAGAGAAAAAAGTGTCAACAGATCAAAATGAATAGCGCTATCAAAGTGCACTGAAGACCAGGAGAGATTTAAGAGAAGTTAGTCAATAACAGATATTTGAAGATTGCATGTATATACATATATTTTATAAATCAGCCAGCTTCTACTCTTGACTTCTTCGTGAGTTACACCTAAAAAAACTGCTTATTTTAAATGATACGCACTAAAAAAGTGTATATATATATATGTATATATGTATATATGTATATATGTATATATATATATATATATATATATATATATATATATATATATGGAGAGAGTAGTGCAATTGAGTAATCAATAATAACTCTGAAGTTTCAAATTTACCTTGAACTAAACAAATGATTTCGACTAGACCATAGTCCAGGTGAATTAGTTCGATCCAATATAGGTCGTATAATATGATGATTAGTATTTCTTTTTCGTGTTCGCCTTTCTACTCCACCAGCACCAGCACCCGCACCGCTAACACTACTACAACTGCTACTAACATTCACATCAGCTTCGACAACATTGGAATTCGTTGTTGAATTGCCAATCATAGCACTGGCGGCTACAGCAGCTACTACAGCTGCTGCTGCTGTAGCTGCTGCTTGTTGACGTCTCCAATGATTGTTATCATTTGTATTCATATGTGAAGTATTATTGTGATTAATCATTCTATTCTGCATTGATGTCAATGCAGATAGATCCGACAAAGAAATAGCTGACGACGAAGACGAGGATGACGAAGAGGATGATGATGATACTGAGGTGACTGATTTTAACTCCCTGATAGAATCGTCAAATCCAAATTCATTATGATTCAATGAAGTTGTTGTTGTTACTGCTGTTGTTGCTGTTGTACATGATGGTGTCAATGGAGTTGTATGATGATGCATCGACGAGGTTGTTGTTGTTGATGATGTTGTTGATGATGATGATGATAAATTTGTATTGAATGTTGCAGCGGCAGCTGCTGCTGCTGATAATAATTGCATATGTGCAGCGGCTGCAGCAGCAGCAAACATACTAAATTCAATAAGAAAACAAACAAACAAATGAATACCTGAAAAATGCGATAATCAATGAGTAGTGTACAGTCCGTTCCATTAGAATAATATTAATAATAATAGTGATACATTATAACTGGAGTTCATTTCATTCATTTCTACTTGTTTGATTGTTACAGAATTTTATCAGGACCAATGTATCATTGAATAATTTGAATGATAATAGTGCAATGAAAATAACCCTCAAGGCAAAAGGAAAAGAGGAAGGAAGGCCAAGGAACACATTGCGTCGAGAAGTAGAGAAATAGATGAGAAGAATGAATAAAAATTGGACAGAACTGGAAAGGGAACCCCAGGACAGAGTAGGTGGTGAAGAAAACGGGTCGGCGGTGGGTAACAGGCGTAAGTAAGTAAGTAAGTAATGAATATAAAGCAGAGAGAATGCAATGATCTCACTTCGCATTGACTTTCATCAGATACCTTGAGGGTAATAAGTAGTTTCATCAATTTTATTTGCAATAAATAAGAAACAATGAATTATAGGGTTAAATAACTTCAATTAATTTGACGATCTTGTTTAACTCTACTGGCCATAGCTTCTCAGTGGACTAGAAGTACTGAGTTCAATCCCTCATCCCAAACTTGTAGAGTTGACGATGTGCGCTGAAGAGAAGTCCTATGCCAGGGCAAAAGCTACAATTCAGCGCTTTCATGTTTTCAATAATTGCGTATAACATAGAACGATTCATGATTTCAATGAAATTCAGTCAACCTCTCTACATGCTCTTACTGAATATCACCTAATTATATATATATATATATATGTATATTTTAATGGCAGCTGATACGGATCATTGGAAATTTGGTGTGAAATAGAGCTGATTACTAGAATTTTGTTAGCATTAACGAATGTTGAACAGAGTGATTGACCATTCTGCATATCATACTAACTGAATCGAGTTACATAGATTGAAACATGCGTTCCTTTAGGTTCTATCATCTGATTCGAGAGCGATTAGGCCTGAAGAGTAGTCAGTTAGCAGGTCACAAGAGAATGTGACCCACCACCGCTGTAACACTACTAGGTCGTCAAGATCACTCTGTTAGGATATTCATCCAATATCCTAAGAGAATTATGGGTCGAATCCTATTGGTCAAAATTATGGTCGTTTTAACTGTCAAAGTCAAATATTTCAATGTTGTCTCTTATTGGTTGTCCTGACTATCAATGTCACTTCAAATGTTGCTGCCTATTGGTCGTCTTCACTGCCGATGTCACAGACTTCAATGCTGTTTCCTATTCGACCAAAATGTATAAATACGCATTATCTGTAACCTTTTATGACCACGACCAGGACCAGGGCTCGGTCCCGGATCCCTAGTCCAGGATCCTGATTTTTCTTCTGGACTCGAACCTCGTACTTTCTGGATGCTTGTAGGATACAGGTTCTACTTCATATCACCTCTCCTTATTTTTACTCAATATGGGGGGGGGGGTGGCGGGATAATCGGATTTCAGTAGTATGTCGTGTCGCCGGATCCTCGACCCTCGCTCTCGTTTTCCGACTGGGTAAACTCGTAATAGTTCAAGTGTATCAAGTTGACGTGTTTCGTGCAGGCGTAGCACACTCTTCTAAACCAGCCTACTTCTCAAGCTCCTTATCAAGAAGAACTGTTGGCAATTGAGAAACGACAGCCCCTCATATATGTCTTTAACCCTAAACGATAGATTAAGCCTATCCATTTCAAAATATTCATTTTTTATACAGAGAAATATTTGATTTCTATTTCATATAACAGTATCTAACAGTCAGAAAACAAAAAAAACAGGGGCATAAACATTAAAGTAAACTAAAATTCAGTTTTACTTAATACAGCTTTCTGTTCCTTTTTTTTTCTTCACATTCACACTCAACACACTTTGACTTACCCAGGAGAATAAGGACTGACAGCGGTAGAATTAGTTGAATTCGACGTTCGACTACTACCACCAGGAGATAATGATAAACTAGCATTCTGATTGTGACCATGATTATTATGATTTAGTTTTGGTGATGGTATCATACTACTGCTACTGTTTGGTGATTTCACCGATTGTAGGTGATTGAAAATTAACGATTTATTGATTGATCCAGATGGACTTAATGCAAATAGTGTGTTGTTGTTGTTGTTGTTGTTGTTATTGTTATTGTTATTAGCATTCAATGAAGGACATGGTGAATTTTGATGACTATTTGAAGAAGACGTAGAAGAAGATTTATGAGATGATGTTTTTGGCGAGTTTGTACCACCACTCCAAGAGGCGACAGCTGCAGCTACAACTGCAGCAGCGGCGGCTGCTGCACAAGCTGTCACAGAATAGAAATTCGATGATGCTGTTGTTGTTGTCGTTGTTGTTGAAGCAGGAGAGGATAATGATGCTGGATTACGTTGAACAGATTCATTCGGCGGTGATAATGGAAAAGATGATAATGATGATGACAGGTGTTCAGATCCTATGGATAATGAATTTTGGAGTTTGGGTAGAGGATCCATTGAGTTGTCCAGTGAACGATAACCTTTATTAATGTAAGGAATAAAAGGGAAGAATAAATGATGAGGTTTTTGAAATTTTCCCTTTTAAATCATCCAGTCAGTTAGTCAGTCAGCTACAATGTAGAACTTCGTACGTACATCAATTCACGTTACCATATCAAATTAGCACACAGAGAGATCGAAGTGTCAATTCAAATCCCATAGCAATATATGTAGTACAAGTAATCGAAAAGATAAGGGTTCGAAGATATTATTTAAGAAGTATGTATAATCTAGTGAAACAAATCTGAAAAAGAGAAAACGAAAGGTGATAAGGAATTCGGAAGATTAGATTTTGAGACGACACAAAGAGAATAGATGTATGTGTGGCATTGCAAACGATTTTCAGCCATGTCATTTCAAGTCTTTAACAATCGGTTACGATTGTCTCACGGACCCCAACCAAGTAGTTTACATTTACCAATTTTAAGTAAAAGGATAATATTGTTGTGCATATTACTCACTATGTGGCTTATAAGTAGTATACAGCGGTGCAAAACCCAGAATTTACTGTTGAATTTAAGAGTTTGGAATCTGAATGCATGGCGTAATTAAAGTGTTTTGAAAAGAACAAGACAGTCAAGAATCTGCTTGTTTTGTAAATGGAAGTTTGAACAATGTGTGTACACATTTCGCCAGTAAACAATGTCTTCTTTAACTAAATCGAATATTCTATTTGGGTCTTCACATCTTCATTCGTTACAATATCGATTCACAGAAAAAATCAGTTATCACTCTTGTTTCACTGTAGTGACTGTTGTTTATGAAAATTCTTTGTTTATAAATGCAAAAGAAACATGAATAATTCATCATTTGAACATCTTAGAAAAATCCTTTCTCATGGAGATAGTCGTCTTACACTTAAATGAAGAACTGATCAATCTTAGATCACCATTAGAAACCTGGAAGCACTGGAAGGCCATTACATCCTGGCATATGGGACTACTCATCATCAGTGAGCATCCACAACTCCTGTTATTATTCACAGGATAAGAACCCAGGACCTTCGGTTTTGCGCGCGCGGACGTCTAACCAGGACGCCTGGGTTCGAATCCTGTGGGTAGCAGCAATCATGGGTGCACATTTCTGACGAGTCCCATATGCCAGGATGAAACAGCCTTTCAGTACTTCCAAGTTCCTAATGGTCATCTAACAATGACTTATTCCTTCATGTTTGTTACCACTTTTTTTTATTTCTGATATAATGACATAAAGTAATGTAAACTGATTTACTTCACAATTAATAACACTATCATGTTTAAGTTAGATGCAACTGTTGATGAGAAACCATCAGGTCTGATTCTGTTGAGTTGATTGTGACTTTTGTTTCTCTGTTGAAATTTATCAGTGCAAAAATGATCTTATTGTGTCATAACAATTTGTGTTCCTATTGAAATATGACTGACTTTAAAAAATTGCCTCCAAATTCCCTGGTACGTTTACGAGTAAGGAGAGTTCAGAGTCGTAGATGTGTACAGCTGATGAGCTAGTCCCTCATACTCAATAAATGAGTCAGTTACAACCTAGAACTTCTTACATAAGTACATCAGTTCAGGTTTCCATACCACATTAGCACAGAGACCCAGTTGTCACTTCAAATCCCGTAGTGGTAGAGAGAGTAGAAGTATTAGCAGTAATCGGAGATATTATTCAACAAGTATGATTCATTAGGATAAGTTTAGGAAGAGAAAGGTAGAGGTGACTATGAATTCAGAAGATTGGAATTTCAGAGAACACAAAGACTGGATACACTTGCGCCATTGCATACAATTTTCAGCCATATCGATCAAGGTCTCTCTAAGCATCGGTTACTATCTCATAGTAGAACATTCTAGATCAGCCATCCAATACTTCCAGACTTCCAATGGTAAGTGGTCTAACATAGATTCATTAATGATTTGCATGAAAATTCAATAAACTCCACAAACCTATGCCGATAATGTATATGCATTTTTTGGTTGTAGACTTACTATTTCTACACATTTGAAATCATCAATCAATCATTGTTAGACCACCATTAGAAACCTGGAAGCACTGGACGGCCGTTTCGTCCTGGTGTGGGACTCATCAGTGGTAGTGCGCATCTACGACTGCTGCATCAAGCAGGATTCGAACCCGGGACCTTCGGTATTGTGCGCGAACGCCTAACCATTGAACCACTGGGCCCACCGGCATCCAACGGTGTTAATGTCTAATTCTGATTGACCTACGGATTTTGCGCGACCTCATCCATTTGTCCTTTGGTAGTTACTGCCTACACCCGACAAGGTTGAACTCCATTGGTCACGTCTTCTCAACTAGAACTCCGAGAATTCCCTCACGAAGCTAGTCACTAGTGATCACTGTTACGATATTTTCGGGCAGAGTTTTGGAGGTTTTGTGTTTTTACACATTTGAAATCATCAATCAATCATTCAATCATTTTCTACTGTAGCAGATCGACTAACGCGAATTACTTTCAACTAATTGAATGGAAAAAAAAGTAAACTCAACTATCATTGAATTTAATTTAATTCACTAGTGTTATTTTTTTGTTCAAAGTTAAACATTCTCTATGGTATTTTATTAAATTATTATTAGGCATAGATTTTGGACAACCATATCTTCTAGGCGTCCTTCTTTATCATAATTATAAATTTTCGTTTAGCCATCTGTGTGTGTGTGTGGAGTTCATTTCAATTACAAGGACAATATCAGATACAAATGTAGATAACACACAGAGAGAGAGAGAGATTAACAATGTGCGTATTTATATATATATGTAATGTGTAATTCAATAGGAAATACATTATGCTTCTTTTTTTATTTTGAATTAAAAAAAAACACTACACAAACCGGAATGAACAAGTCAAATCAAATTCTGTATTAATTAATTACACATATATCAATCAACTAACCAACCAGCCAGCTAGCCAGCCAGACAGTCAGTCAGTCAGTCATTAGGATGAAGCAGGATTAAAATTGCATACAACAACAAGATGGCAATTATATCAAGTAAGATTGTAGGAGAAATGATCATTTGAATTCTATTTTATGCGCTTATGTCCAAAAGGGAGTCAAATTCACTGTGCACACATATCATTCATAGCAAGTACCTTGAGACGGCTTATTAGGTTCGTCAATTAGTATGCTTGAGGCTAATACGAGTTTACCTTAGTCGATAAACGTGAACGAGACTTTTACCAGCGTCCAGGTAGGCTACCTTGAATCCCCAAATAAAATAAGAAGGCTTGTAAGCGTAGAAAGTATATTCTACAAACACTCAGCAATCACAGTACAATCAAGCATACAACTCTCGTTTATTTATACATCATAGAAACATCCTTGGGACAGTTATGAAAATAGCACACTAAAATACACAGCAGCCAATCACAGCCATGGATTTTCCTGGTGGGAAATGAAATCTCAAGGTCAACTGATCAGCCCATGCTGGCAAACGTAGAATCCAAAATAAGGCAATTAACAAGCGAGTTTTGGGGATCTAACATCCCCAACACGGCTGTATACCTTTTTTTTAAAAAAAATTCTATTCAACTATTCTCATACTCTGTTCATGAAATCATTAACACTGCAACAGATCTATACATAACAACTGGTCATTATGATTTATACGATGACTATCAATCATTGCTACAATAGTTGTAGTCGGTAATTGACATGGTTAACAGATTACAATTACAATAATTCAAGCTTTTTCTAAACTATCACTTCCAATATTTCTTCATATATACCAGTTTTCGGTATGGAAATGATTGTTGTTAGACCACCACTAGGAACCTGGGAAGCACTGAACGGTTGTTTTGTCCTAATGTAACATTCATCAGCAATGCCCATTCACAACTACTGCTACTCGTCGGATTCGGTCTTAAGTGTGAACACCTAACCTCTGACCAGTAAGCCGGCATCCAACTTCACCCATTGTCTTCGATAGTTACTGCCTACAACCATCAGGGTTAACCACCCACTGATCACTATCTATTTTTTTCTAGATCACATTCTCAATGCTCATCAATCACTTTTGCTATCATTACAACCAATAGTATTCCACTCATTTTCTCTATTCATCTTTCAAACATAAACTGAAAGACTAAACTATGGTGACAATTTGAGACTTAAATAGTTGAAAATCATCATAGTCTAACTCATTCACATCTTCATCTTGTGAATGTCAATAAAACACCAGATTTACTTGGAAATGAACAATCACAATCATAAACACTGCACTTACGAGATGTTGTTAATGGTGATTGATTATGTTCTTGTATTGACAATCCATTCGTTGCTTGTGGTGTATCATATGAAGGATAATTGAATAGATTCATATGAATAGACGGGAAATCTTTCGGTTGACGAACATGCTGCTGTTGTTGCTGCTGTTGATGATACAATGATGATGACAACGTTGATGAAGGATTCGGTTGATAAGTGTTGGCGTATAATGATGATGACAAATGATTGGATTTATTCAGATGTAAACCGGTAACAGTATGATTAGAAGTACTACTACTAGTAGTATTAGTAATACTACCATTCATAGCATCCATTGAATTCATATAATTTTTATAATTTTCCAAACTTAAATCAAATCTATCGATTGTATTGTTTCGATTGATTGGTGAATAGTTTGAATTTAATTTTAAAATATCATGATCATGTTGAACTATGGTTTCATTTGGAGATTTTTGAGAGAAAGCTGCAGCAGCTGCAGCAGCAGCGGCAGCGGCGGCGGCGGCTGCGGCTGCTGCTGCACCACATCTGAATGAATCATAAAATGGTATTAAACCGAATGGATTAGGAACACATGATGGAAATTGACTGGTCTGTAAGTAAAAAGAAAGAAAAATAACAACAATAATTATGACGATGGATTGTGGAATGAATAGGGAGTAAAAAATAAACGAAATAGCGAATTTTGGAACAGTTTTGGATGTTTGTTTTTTTACACATTTGTAATCATCAATCAATCAATCATTGTTAGACCACCACCATTAGAAACCTGGAAGCACTGAACGGCCGTCAAGTCCTGGTATGGGACTCATCAATGGCAGTGCGCATCCATGACTCTTGCACCTTGCAGGATTCGAACCTGGGACCATCGGTAATGTGCGCGAACGCTTAAACATCGGACCACTGCCCCGGCATCCAACGGTGTTAATGTCTAACTCTGATTGATCTACGGATTTTTGCGCGACCTCACCCATTTGTGTTTGGTAGTTACTGCCTACACCCAACAGGGTTGAACTCCATTGGTCACGTCTTCTCAACTAAAACTCCGAGAATTTCCTCACGAAGCTAGTCACTAGTGAGCACTACTACGACATTTTGGGGCAGAGTTTTGGAGGTTTGTGTTTTTAAACATTTGAAATCATCAATCAATCATAGTGAATGTTGTACAGTTAAAAATTTTTTAATGGCACAGTAATTTTAAATCTTGATTATTTTTCTATGATTATATTATTATATAAATTAACCCTCTATATTGGCAAAAAGCAATTTTACATTGGTTTTCAGGATAGACAGACAGATAGATGCAACACAGGTGCAGATACAACAGAACACAGGTCTGAGGGTGAAGTCGTACTGCTGACTGCAGAGGGGTGTGACAGCAGTAAGGTGTTTCCGTCGGGCAACCAGTATCTGCAGCGATGCTGACTTCTCACAACGAAGGAAGGGTTAGAAAAGATCGACCCTAAAAATGTCACACCTCACCTTACCCCATGGATTTCCGTCTACGTCGGTAAGGGCTGCCCAATAAGGGCTTTAAAAAGAGCGGAGCTAATACTCAAAAAAGCCCTGCGTGACCGGCCTTAAGCAGTTGTCCCTTGGACTCAGCGGTTACGCTCTCAGGTCTCTAAGACCGACACTAATCTATCTTCCTTTTCAGCTTCCTCAAGAAACACCCTTGCACGGTGTGGGCAGCCGGGAAGTTACAACCGCCCTCATACCCGTAACAGCACGCGAGACGAAATCGGTCACAAACAAATCCTTCTAAAATTGGTTTTCAAGAGAACCAAGGAGACTGCCTGTTTTTGACGTTTCAACGTGGACAGTTCGGCTCAATCCCGTGGTGCAAATACCCAACAGGTAGCTGACACCCTGGTGGAACATTCACACCACTTATATGTACAATAGTACATATATAATGATTGTTTCTGATCCATGATGGTATCAATCAATATGCATTGCATGAACAGGCCAATTCGACCCATCCCACTTACATGAGTGTCAAACTTATTGTTATCAGCAACGGTGATATACAGTATAGTGTCCCAATGATAATGACCCTCGGGAATGTGGCAAAACAAGCACCAGTATTAGTGAAGTCGGTCACCCTTCTAACCAATTTTGTATATAGATTGTTAGCAATACTTGCCAAAGTAATGCCAAGTCATCCACAATGTTCACAGCAAACCTCTGGTCTCATAGAATATCTTCGGCTCTATCTAGCAGTATAGCATATGGTATACAAATAGTATGGCATAGGATAGCAAGAGATGCAGCCCAGCTTGATGCAAATGGGCTCAAACACTCTTATTACCCTTCATCTCATCGGTCATGAGGAATTCAGAAGATTAGGATTTGAGAGAACACAAAGAATGGATGAACCTGAGCCGATGCAAACCGTTTTTGAACCATATCATTCAAGGTCTTTAACTATCGATTGTTATGATCTCGCGGACCCCAACCTGGAAGTTTACATACGCCAACATGTCTTAATCCAGTTGTCAGTGACTTCATGGATTTGTGTCATATTTTGGTTTGGATACCCCTAGGTTTCCAACCTACTCCTATACCACAAAACATAGCTCGACGAAGCAGTCAGTGTGCACAGCCAGGAAGTGACACATCTGCCTTCATACTCGTAAAAGCACATGAGACCAAAATTGGTCACAATCAAATTAATCTACCAATCATAATATAAACAAAGTCTAAATTAAAAAATACGAACAGTTAACAACAATAAAAACTTTGTTTGTTACAGGAGCCAAATAAATACTTAAGCATAATTTTTAACTAACGACACAAACTTTTTTTAAACCACTGAAACAAAATGTAATCTTAATGCCACAACATATTAGCTCATTGAATCACTACAATATATCGTTGATTTTATTTAGTTGGTTTCTTGCGTAAATCACTTTTCGAACTATATTTTGGGGCAGAGTTTTGGAGGTTTGTGTTTTTTACACATTTTAAATCATCAATCATTGTTAGATCACCATTAGAAACCTGGAAGCACTGTAAGACTCATCAGCAGCGCGCACCCATGACTTCTGCTCCTCGCAGGATTCGAACCCGGGACCTTCGGTATTGTGCGCGAACGCCTAACCATCGGACCAATGGGCCAGCATCCAACGGTGTTAATTAATGTCTAACTCTGATTGATCTATGGATTTTTGAGCGACCTCACTATAGTATGCAAAAATCCATTCAGGATTATATTTACTAGTTAGTTAGACCGTATGAATGATTGTGTATCAAGTAATTTTGTGTTGTAAACAGTACTACTCATCATCATAAAATCTGATTGAAAAGCAATCATTCATCTTCTCGACTAAGGATAATAGTCATGGAAAGGTTTATCAACATCATCATTGTAATCCATTTAGCCCAATCTCAATTTCTCCTATAATTGTACAGTTACAAATTGTTGTGTGTGTGAGTGTGTGTGTGTACATGTACGTGTAGACAATTTAACCTGTAGGTAATTAATTCATCTACATTAACCTGATACAGAAAAGAGACAAGAGCATTTTGATAATCGCATAAATTATGCCTATTTTTTTCTTCTTTTGACCAAATGTGATGAATACAGATAGATATGTTATGTTTAATAGTTAAAAACAGCAATCATAACCGAGAATAAGAAGCCAGTGTGTGTGTTGGTGTGTGTGTGTGTGTGTGTGTGATTTATCTATCAGGAACAATTAACTTAAAATAACAATTTATCATTATAACATGAATAATAATTATCACAAATGATCAATCATTGATGAGATAAATATATCTAGTTAAATACATTAATAGTACTACTGCTACTACTACTACTACCACTGGGCATCATCATCATCATTATCAGAAGAGAGATAGCTAGAGAGAGAGAGAGTGGGAAAAAAGGTAAAAAAAACTGGTTAACCTAATTACTATTTATTTTTTTGGGAGTATATATATATATGTATAATTATTGACAAAATTATAGGAAACCAAACAAAATAAAAGTAGAACAAATAGTAGATATATGAATGATTGTATCATTGTACACTTTAGATGCATTGAAAATCTGAATGTGGAATGTTCCTTTTAGCGTATACGCACACACACACACACGTACACACCAGTGATAAGCAATCATCAACAAGACCACAACGATGATGATGATGATGACAACAGTAACAGCAACAACAAAGGAGGTACAAATGACATTTGTATCTGATCAATCCTAATGATACACTTGATCAGATATATTGAACTAACTCGTCCATAGACGGAGAGTGTGAGTGAGGGCGAGAGTGTAAGAGAGAATCAATTCTTATTTACTTAATTAGTTGCTTTTCATGTTTATCATACAGTGATGTACTGGTTGCATCGACATGCATTGCTCGCTTGCTTATTTGTTTACCTCAATAAGTTCAGTAGTTCTATTGTTGTTTTTTTTGTCATGTAAACATGTAAAAATTCAATGGTTTGTTTTGTTTTAATTAATCAAAATAAATAAACATGGCGACGATATGATAACAGATAGAGAATAGAAAGAATGATTAAACAAACCCATGTACAACAAGGTAGGTAAATAAGTAATTAGTCAAATATAAAAGTGGGAGAGGGGAAAGAACAGAGAGTAGCTCAATCTTTTTTTTCCTGACAACATTGGAATGATACACAAAAAACTGGAGCATGATCAACAAAAACACACAACAAAGATGTGAGAATGACCAGGAGACTGACAACAACAACAGCAAGGAACACTTTGGAAGAGGAATGCATTAAAAAGTCCAATTAGAAGATTATATCAAATGACCAATTAGTATGCGCACATTTAACCAATGCAAATAATGAATAGCGATTATGGATAGTCATTCTGATTACTATAATAATAATAATAATAATAATAATAATAATAATAATTATTATTATTATTATTATTATTATTATTATTATTATTATTATTATTATTATTATTATTATTATTATTATCAGTCTCTAACAATATGACAATGGATGCATATTTAGATGATATCTCTTCTATTGGGTTAGGGGGTTGATTTTGCGCAAAATACAGATAATGATGCGTTGTATTGCATTGCATTGCATTGCATTGACAGATTGCAACGTAAATTATTATATCCACAAATATCATGAATATCTCAATTTATAATTAGAATAATAATAATAATATTATTATTATTAATGACAATAAATAATAATGATTACAATAATAATAATAATATCTGCGTATATACATAGTACTCATTCATCACAGTGACAATAGCATACCAATATGTAGGTATGTACGATAGAGAGAGAGAGCGCGCGCGCGAGTGAGTGAGTGAGTGAATGAGCCCGAAACAATCAGATCAACATTGTCATTATTACCTATTTGAGGTTGCGTTATCTTTCAAACTACGCACAAACAGCAAAAAAGACAAACAATCATCCTTGTTCGCTGGCTCGCTCGCTCGCTCTCTCTATCGGTCTATACATGTATCCTGGGTTAAATTGTGTAATGGAGTAGTTTTAGACATGTGCAAATAATTAACGACAACAACAACAAAACTAAACAGAAGGATACAACAATGCACGTTTTCTCTCTCTCTCACCC